CCGCCGAACCAAAGTATGACATGCTGGTAAGCTGTATGACTTATATCGCCCACAACTCACTTGTGTTCTACTCGTGCACAACATCAACGCATAAAACCTAGGCTCAGATGCCACTGTTGGGGAACGTAGTAATTTCAAAAAAATTCCTACACACACTCAAGATCATGGTGATGCATAGCAACGAGAGGGGAGAGTGTTGTCCACGTACCCTCGTAGACCGAAAGCGGAAGCATTATAACAACGCGGTTGATATAGTCGTACGTCTTAACGGCCCGACCGATCAAGCACCGAAACTACGGCACCTCCGAGTTCTAGCACACGTTCAGCTCGATGACGATCCCCAGACTCCGATCCAGCAAAGTGTCGGGAAAGAGTTCCGTCAGCACGACAGCGTGGTGACGATCTTGATATTCTACCGTCGCAGGGCTTCGCCTAAGCACCGCTACAATATTATCGAGGATTATGGTGGAGGGGGGCACCGCACACGGCTAAGAGATCTTAAGGATCAATTGTTGTGTCTAGAGGTGCCCCCTGCCCCCGTATATAAAGAAGCAAGGGGGAGGGGCGGCCGGCCATGATGAGGCGCGCCAGGGAGGAGTCCTACTCCTACCGGGAGTAGGACTCCCTCCTTTTCCTTGTCCAAGTAGGAGAGGGGGAAGGAAGGGAGAGAGGAGAGGAAGGAAAGGGGAGGCGCCGCCCCTCCCTCCTTGTCCAATTCGGACTAGGGGGAGAGGGGGCGCGCGGCCTGCCCTGGCCGCCCCTCCTCTTCTCCACTTTAGGCCCATGAGGGCCATTAACCCCCCGGGGGGTTCCGGTAACCCCCCGGTACTCCGGTTTTATCCGAAACTTTTTCGGAACACTTCCGGTGTCCGAATATAGCCGTTCAATATATCAATCTTTATGTCTCGACCATTTCAAGACTCCTCGTCATGTCCCCGATCTCATCCGGGACTCCGAACTACCTTAGGTACATCAAATCACATAAACTCATAATACAATCGTCACCGAAACTTTAAGCGTGCGGACCCTACGGGTTCGAGAACTATGTAGACATGACCGAGACACGTCTCCGGTCAATAACCAATAGCGGAACCTGGATGCTCATATTGGCTCCCACATATTCTACGAAGATCTTTTATCGGTCAGACCGCATAACAACATACGTTGTTCCCTTTGTCATCGGTATGTTACTTGCCCGAGATTCGATCGTCGGTATCTCAATACCTAGTTCAATCTCGTTACCGGCAAGTCTCTTTACTCGTTCCCTAATACATCATCCCGCAACTAACTCATTAGTTGCAATGCTTAAGTGATGTGCATTACCGAGAGGGCCCAGAGATACCTCTCCGACAATCGGAGTGACAAATCCTAATCTCGAAATACGCCAACCCAACAAGTACCTTCGGAGACACCTGTAGAGCTCCTTTTTAATCACCCAGTTACGTTGTGACGTTTGGTAGTATACAAAGTGTTCCTCTGGTAAACGGGAGTTGCATAATCTCATAGTCATAGGAACATGTATAAGTCATGAAGAAAGCAATAGCAACAAACTAAACGATCAAGTGCTACGCTAACGGAATGGGTCAAGTCAATCACATCATTCTCCTAATGATGTGATCCCGTTAATCAAATGACAACTCATGTCTATGGTTAGGAAACATAACCATTTTTGATCAACGAACTAGTCAAGTAGAGGCATACTAGTGACACTCTGTTTGTCTATGTATTCACACATGTATTATGTTTCCGGTTAATACAATTCTAGCATGAATAATAAACATTTATCATGATATAAGGAAATAAATAATAACTTTATTATTGCCTCTAGGGCATATTTCCTTCAGGAGGAAGCATATTGCCTCTAGAGCTACCTTTGATGACGCACCAGGTCATCGGCGATGCGATTTGGAGGAAATGCCACCCTCGAGGTTACCACGGCGCATTGTCGCGGCCGCTGTGGCACACTTCTAGCAGTCCGTCCCCTGGCCTGCTTTAGAGAAAGAAAGAATTAGTACTGGAGAAGATTTCAGGGCTCCTTTGATTCAAAGGAATTTCTATAGGATTTTTAGAGGGTTGAAATACTTAGAAACTTTTTCTACGTTGGTTCTTGGATTCATAGGATTGGATTCGGGAATTTTTTCTATGAATTTTTTTGTACTGCAATTCACAGAAATCTAACATCCACTTCATCTTTTTTTACAATTTTTTTGTTTTTTATATGACATCAAACACCCAATGCTAATCCTATATGATTTAAATGGACATGCCACCCCAATCATATACTTCCTCTATCCCTACATTTTCAGAATCCTATGAATCAAAGAGGCCCTCAATTGACTAGTGACCTACTACTTTATTTTACTAACTCATGATGGATCTCTTGATTGTTGCCCGTGTTTATTAAGATTGTTAGCTAGTTGTCCGTGTGTTATAGTCAACAACTCACTTTTAATAGTAGAGATTTTCCTCACTTTTCCTATTATTTTTCAGATGACTGAAAAACACTCCCTCAATTCACAAATACTCTCTCCGTTCGGAAATAACTATCATGGTTTTATTTTAAAAATGTGATACGAGATGTCATATTTTTTGTGAATCAAATGTATGTGGGCACTTTTTAGTGTGTTAGTTCACTCATTTCAGTTCGTATGTATTTTATATTATAATATCCAAAACTTCTTATATTTGTGAAGGGAGGGGTATCTACTTTCTACCACAGTAATATTTTCATATTTCATCAGCAGACTTCTCTTATTATTTTTATATAAGAAAAAAAAATGCTACTCCGCGTCCAAACGCTCCCGCTCGTCTGGGCTCTCTCTTTATAAACCGGCTCTCGGACCCCTCACTCTCCACGCCTCATCTTCCGTTTCTTCTCCAGCCCCCCTCACGAAAGCCACACCCCGCCGCCCCGGCGCAGTTTCTGGAGCGGCACTCGGATCCTGACGGCCATGGACAAGGGCGCACTGATGACGCCGGACTCCGATCAGGGCGGCCCCGACGGGGGCTCGTTCTCGAGCCTGCGCTTGTACGGGCGGGCCCTGTCGCAGACGCCGCGGCGGCTGGCACGGCGCGCGTGCGCGGCGACGGCGCCGGAGGAAGAGATGAGCCGCGTGCGCGCGCGGTCGGGGGCTCCGATGGCGCGCGCGCTGCGGTGGCCGGACCTCGTGGGGCTCGGCCTCGGCGGCATGGTGGGCGCCGGGGTGTTCGTCACCACCGGGCGCGCCACGAGGCTCCACGCCGGCCCCGGCGTCGGCGTCTCCTACGCCATTGCCGGCCTCTGCGCGCTGCTCTCCGCCTTCTGCTACACGGAGTTCGCCGTGGACATGCCCGTCGCCGGCGGCGCCTTCAGCTACCTCCGCGTCACCTTCGGTGAGCTCGCTGGCCCCGGCCCCGGCCCCCCAATCATGCCGTGATCATGACCCGAATAACGCCATTAAACCAACCATCAATTTATATATAATAATCTGCTCGTTTCTTGTCATACCATCTAAGATTTGTTTATCCCATGAGTATTTTGCTCTCGCTCGCTCCGTTGGTGCGATTGGAGTACGTCACATATTGGGGGGAAAAATCGCATCCATCCTTAACTATCCGATGGCTATCTATACTACATCTTCCTTCATGTGTATACTTTGTGGTTTGGCTTCCCCCTTGTCTTGCGATTGTCCAGTTGCCCAAAAAGCAGGCTCCTTTTGCGCGTATTTAATGCGTACGCGAGAGGTGTCGTCGTCGCGGCATGAACACGATGCCGCTGTTGCTGCTGTCGCTGTGCCCTGCCTGCTGATAAAATAAAATTCAGATTCAGATAGATCACCTGCGACGCTGTTCCAACAGTATATAGAAAACCTAAATCCTTTGTACGTACGCACGTACGTACGTTCGTGCTACGTATGCACGTCTCGCTGTCAGCTGAATTTGGATTGAGATTTAGCAGAGTAGAAGAGACTCGCGAGTCCAACGGGAGCAATTAAAGAAAGGAAAAAAAAATTGGGATTGCGACTTCCAACAAATTTTATCGCACGCACACGTACACATCCATATCCAGGAAATAATGTTGGGTGGTCGCTTTCTCGCGTCCCAAAACGGTTGGTTTGGCCTTTTGGCCCAGATGCATATGGGGCCTAGCTAACTCTCTCATCTCAGGGTAAAAGATCTTGTTCACAGCCGCCCCGCCGCCGGTGGTTGCAGCCAGAGCTGATTGTTTGTTTGCGTGCAGGGGAATTCGCTGCGTTCCTGACTGGGGCGAACCTCATCATGGAGTACGTCTTCTCCAACGCCGCCGTGGCGCGCAGCTTCACGGCCTACATGGGCACGGCGGTCGGCGTGGACGCGCCCAGCAAGTGGCGGATCGCCGTGCCCGGCCTCCCCAACGGCTTCAACCAGGTCGACCTCGTCGCCGTCGGGGTCATCCTCCTCATCTCCGTCTGCATCTGCTACAGGTACTACTACTCATCCTACTACCAGTATTTGTTTTCATTATAATATAATATACTCCTGATAAAGAAATCATTTTGGCTTTGCTTGCAAGTGTCAGCCTTCTCTTGTCTCTTGCCGCGTCTCTCGGTACTGTGTGTTTTGCATGACTGTTGACTAGAGTGTGATTTGCACGACCGTTAACTGAAACTGGACCCAACGCCCTGTGAGTTGCTAGTGTCAGTCAATCTTGTAAAAAAGCCGTTGCAAATGTCACTTCACTTTTTGCTAGATTTTATAAGGTTCGATTTGCTCTAGTTGTAGCCATTAAGATTATTTTTTTTCGAGATTTTGTTCCGCAAGACAGAAAAGGGTCCTCTCGGTCGCTCGCCGCTGTAGCTTTTCCCACCTTTCGCAATCGAATGTCTTCTGAACAAGCTTTTCTCCAGAAGCAAAGAAAGAATCTCACAAGGGAACCACTCCTTTTGATTCTCTAGTACCCCTACATACATGTGCTTGATTCCGTTTCCTGTGAAGTTCAAACAACTCCGAGAAGATTCTTTTTTGTTTTCCTGGATAGAAACATGGTAGGAGCACATATTCCTGGCACAAGTATGACACTGTTTTCCTGTCTGCGATGCGATGGCAGCACCAAAGAGAGCTCCAAGGTGAACATGGTCCTCACGGCCGTGCACGTGGCCTTCATCCTCTTCATCATCGTCATGGGCTTCTGGCGTGGTGACGCGCGCAACCTGACCCACCCCGCCGACCCGACCCACCCGGGCGGTTTCTTCCCCAACGGCGTCGGCGGCGTCTTCAGCGGCGCGGCCATGGTGTACCTGAGCTACATCGGCTACGACGCCGTGTCCACCATGGCTGAAGAGGTGGAGCGGCCGGCGCGCGACATCCCCATCGGCGTTTCGGGGTCCGTCATCATCGTCACCGTGCTCTACTGCCTCATGGCCGCCTCCATGTCCATGCTCCTCCCATACGACGCGGTGAGAACCATTTATCTATCTTCTTTGTTTTTAAGATTCTTATGTAGGCAGCATGGGCATACGGATGATGCTCGTTACTCATCCTAGTCTACTTTTGGGTCTCGCCCGCCTACTAGAAGGGAAGAGATCTCACCTATGAATGATATGATTGTGTAGGTGAGGATGATTCTGGGAATATATTGCCTAAGGTGGATGAGGTTGCTATAGCTTATAGTAGTAGGAGCTGTATTAGAACAGGAGATTGACGCCAGTGGCAGCAAGACGATTCTTGTTGCTTTTCCTTTCTACCTTTGCCTCGTTCCCTTTTGGGATGTTGGTCATGTGGTTTTTCGGGATGAATCTGCTGTCGCCGTCGCAGGACTGCCGGCCCAAATACGCTTTCTAGCACAGCACAGGGTAGTAAAGCATGATCTATGTGCACGCAATTTCTTATGCCTTTATCCTATTCTCTTTTCTTTCTTGGTAACCTATGCCATGCCATGATCAGCGACAGAATCTGACAGTATTTGACCTGCTACTGCTGGCTCGAGCTCAACTGTGTCTGTGTGTGGTGTTTTCAGATCGACACGGAGGCGCCCTTCTCGGGGGCCTTCAGAGGGAGCGACGGATGGGGCTGGGTGTCCAACGTGATCGGGGCCGGTGCCAGCCTCGGCATCTTGACGTCGCTCATGGTGGCCATGCTGGGGCAGGCCAGGTACCTGTGCGTCATCGGCCGCTCCGGCGTAATGCCCGCCTGGCTCGCCAAGGTGCACCCCAAGACCGCCACCCCCGTCAACGCCTCCGCCTTCCTCGGTACGTATCGCTCGCCGTCCTTCTAACTGTTTCCTTCACTTTTGACCAACGTCACGGGCACCATGGTTTCTTCGGGAGAATTCACGACCGAGTACTCCAGCAACGACAATGTCATGGTTCCTTTCCGTGACCATCATAACGGCGGGCGAAAGCGATTAGCGACTAGCGAGCGACAACCTCGCCTTTCCTTGTGGACTTTCCGGGCTGGGAAGCCGTTTCCATGGACAACCCGCGACGCTAATAGTATTATAGAGAGTGTAGACACGGGCATCATGCAAAGGAAGTTTTAACCTGATTATTTGTACCACGACAATGTCACTTTTCCTTGGTTTTCTTCATTCATTTTGACTTTTTTTTGTATTGTATTGACAATGTGACGTTCCTCCTCGCAGGACTCTTGACGGCTGCGCTGGCGCTCTTCACGGAGCTGGACATCCTCCTCAACCTCGTCTGCATCGGCACGCTCTTCGTCTTCTACATGGTGTCCAACGCCGTCGTATACCGCCGCTACGTCGTCGGCGCAACCGGCAGCAGCACCGAATCCGGGGACCGGCAGCCCAGCGCATGGCCGACCCTCGCGTTTCTCCTCGCCTTCTCCCTCATCGCGCTCTCCTTCACGCTGGTGTGGAAGCTGGCGCCGGAGGGCGGCCGCACCAGGGTCGGGCTCCTGTCGGCGTGCGGCGCGGCGGCAGTGGCCACAGTCGGCGCGTTCCAGGCGTTGGTGCCCCAGGCGCACACGCCCGAGCTTTGGGGCGTGCCGGGCATGCCGTGGGTGCCCGCAGCGTCCGTGTTCCTCAACGTCTTCCTGCTCGGCTCCCTGGACCGCCCGTCCTACGTCCGGTTCGGCTTCTTCTCCGCGGCCGCCGTGCTCGTCTACGTGCTCTACAGCGTGCACGCGAGCTATGACGCCGAGGAGAGCGCCACGCTCGACGGCGCCAAGGTGCAGGACGAAGCTTGCAGGGTGTAGCTACTAGCTAGGGTGGAGAGAATGAGCTTGTTAACTGCTGCTCTAGAGCGTCTAGGTTTTTCTTCTTCTTGACAATTTTCTGTCATGTTCTAGATTTCGAGTAGCTGTTGGGAGTACAACAAAGGAGCTAACAAGGTAATGAAATGTGAAAACTGAGAGGATCGGGGCAAAGGAGATTTTACCTGGAACTTGCATATGCGAGCACAAGTTCTTCTAAAATGTACATGCTCTAATTTCCTGGAAGATACTTCAGGGCAACTGCTTGTCTCCTTCATTTGTTTTCTTTACCCAAAAAAGGCTTCCCCACTTTATATTATAAAACAATTATCACTGGATACATCCGAGATACCGAACAACACGCACACACACCCAAGACAAGATGCAAAGATGCCCGACACCGTCACACCACCACACCGACAAACAATAGAAAAGTGAACCGGACCACAACGAAGCCATGCCAGCAAGATGACAAGAGTGGGAATGCCACAACGGAGCCTTCAGAAAGGGTATGGCGGCAACGGCCACCGCCAGCGTGGGCCAGTCAAAGGACCGGACAAGTGGTATACCCCGGCGCTCACACCCCACCGGCGAACCTGCGCCAACCCGACCGCGACCGAGGAAAGGGGGAGAAAGGGGAGTAGACGGATTTGGACTGGCAAACCGTGCCGGCGATAGGTGGCGCGACCGCATCGAGACACCCATCCCTCCAACCAAGCTCCCCGCCGAACACGAGGAAAGGGGGAGAAGGAGGAGCGGACGCATCCGAATCAGCAAATCGTGCCGGCGATAGGTGGCACGACCGCATTGAGGCCACCTATCCCTCCTACCAAGCTCCCCCGCGAGCACCCCCATGTCGCCCCACCATGGTAGCTGACACACATCTCCGCGAGGCCATCGGCAACCGCGTGCCCGCTGACGAGGGCGACCAAATCAACTCGCAGCCGCATCCAAGGAAGCTCATCGGAGATGCCTCCTCGCGTCGTCCGCCGATGTCCGCGCGCCAGACCTGGAAGGTTCCGACGCAGACTCGACCAACACGCCCCGCAGCCACCACTACTGCACCGCCACCCCCCACCAACCCGAACCAGGGCAGGGGCGGCCGCCCGCAGATCCTTGTCGCCCGTGACCTGCACCACCACTGCGCCAAGCAAGGAGCCGGCCCAGGCCACACCGGACCCCACCACCGACGCCCTGCCTCGTCGCAACCGCCGCCATGAACGCTCGCACCAAGCGCTCGCCGCCCCCGCACTCCACGCACTAGCATGCCCTCCGACGCCCAGCCTGTCGCGCCACCGCCACGCGCAGCGCCATCACCACGCAGCCGCGCCGCAGCGCCCTGGGACAGCGAGGCACCCTGATCCAGCCGCGTCGGCCCGCGCCAAGGCCGTTAGAGGGGGAACGAGGAGGCCTTGCCGGTGCCGTCGAGGAAGGAGGGGGCGGGGAAAGGAGTTGGCGGCGGCGCGGTAGGGTTCCTCCCCGTAGCCTTGCGGGGGCGACGCGGGAGGGTGGGAAAATGTACCGCGTCGGTCTTGGTAAATTCTTTCGTCTGTCCGTGGGTTTTACAATATCTTGTTTACTTTGATAAAAGGTGCCCGGCTTAATCTATTTTTTACCTACTAAACGGATTAATGATCTATTTTTGACCTACTAAACAGATTAATGCTTCTTCCCGTCCGTCATGCGGTTTTACAGAAAATCACATTTGAAAGAATCAACCTGCAGTCCACCTTTAAGTGACAAATTGAATCAAATTTTGTTTTTACAAAAAAAATATCCTACAATCTCTAGTAATTAACCCACAGTCCACTTTTACGTGACAAAATAAACCTTTTTTTCTTTTTTTTACCAAAACACCCTGTGTTTTATGGCAATTAACACGCTACCCACCTTTAAGTGACAAAGCTTAAAAGAAAACCCCTAAATTTTTTGGTTAATCAACCCGCAGTCCATCTAGAACATTTTTTAAATATCCATATCTTTTAAACCCTAATTCCAATTTTGACATGTTATAGATGAAAATCAATTAGAAAAACGTGTAGAATCTGAATATAATGTTATTTTACCTCTTAAATATTTTAAAAATGCTATTTAGAGTGCAACCTTAATCAATAGCACACGATTCGTATTTCATTCGTACCGGCGTCAATCTAGATTGCAAATGAACACCTCGATAAACAATATTGGAGACGAAAGAAACCATCGATAATCACGCATGCATGACTTGGCAAAACATAACAAGAAAAAGATCATCATAATGCGTGCGCGCACACAGAGAGAGAGAGACGCCTTAGAATTGACCATATTCAAAAGCATTGTGGTTCTGTAAGCACTAAGATAATCGTAGGCGAGAATGGGTCGGAGGACAAGCGGCAACACATATGCGATGTCATGTTGAAATAAAGAACATGATCCTATTGGGGTCTTGATTCATAATTACTGGGTTCGATAGATGTGATATCTTTTCTCCCGTTGCAACGCAAGAGCTCTTCTACTAGTAAACTAATAAAGCAAATAAAGGCAAAATAGTCTTCCAACCAAAACAAAGTGAGAGATACTTATTACAGAGCAAATAATAAGTAGAAACATTACCAATAGTCAAAATAGAAAGCTAAACACATCAGGAAGAAGTGCTTTTGTTAGAGGCGTGGATGTTCTTGATCTTGCGAAGCACCGAGCAGGCTGCGTCCCGATCCTTCCTCTTCCCTAGAGGACAACGTTGCTGAAAACATAAAAATCATTTGAATATGTAAACAACGTTACAATTCAGAATCTTTCTTCTATAGTGAGTTTATTATGGACAGTTCATAGTGCCCATGCCATGGCCGCAAAAGAGAGCCACACTAACCTGCGATTTTGACCCCTCGATCTCTCAAGAAGATGAAGTAAATCTAGAAATGATTAATGTTTATTTTGTATACTATGATTGCACTGGTTCTCGAATCTACATATAAACATGTGAAGGAAATATGCCCTAGAGGCAATAATAAAGTTGTTATTTATATTTCCTTATATCATGATAAATGTTTATTATTAATGCTAGAATTGTATTAACCGGAAACTTAGTACATGTATGAATATATTGACAAACAGAGTGTCACTAGTTTGCCTCTACTTGACTAGCTCGTTGAATCAATGATGGTTATGTTTCCTAACCATAGACATGAGTTGTCATTTGATTAACAGGATCACATCATTAGAGAATGATGTGATTGACTTGACCCATCCGTTAGCTTAGCACGATGATCGTTTAGTTTGTTGCTATTGCTTTCTCCATAACTATACATGTTCCCATGACTATGAGATCATGCAACTCCCGAATACCGGAGGAACACTTTGTGTGCTACCAAACGTCACAACGTAATTGGGTGATTATAAAGGTGCTCTACAGGTGTCTCCGATGGTGTTTGTTGAGTTGGCATGGATTAAGATTAGGATTTATCACTCCGATTGTCGGAGAGGTATCTCTGGGCCCTCTCGGTAATGTACATCACAATAAGCCTTGCAAGCAATGTAGCTAATGAGTTAGTTACAGGATGTAGCATTACAGAACGAGTAAAGAGACTTGCCGGTAACGAGATTGAACTATGTATTGAGATATCGACGATCGAATCTCGGGCAAGTAACATACCGATGACAAAGAGCACAACGTATATCGTTATGCGGTTTGACCGATAAAGATCTTCATAGAATATGTAGGAACCAATATGAGCATCTAGGTTCCTCTATTGGTTATTGACCGAAGACATGTCTCGGTCATTTCTACATAGTTCTCGAACCCGTAGGGTCCGCGTGCTTAACGTTCAGTGACGATCGGTATTGCGAGTTTATGTGTTTTGATGTACTGAAGGTAGTTCGGAGTCCCGGATTTGATCACGGACATGACGAGGAGTCTCGAAATGGTCGACACGTAAAGATCGATATATTGGAAGCTGGGTGAAAATGAGAGTATACCAGAGCACCAGGAGGTTACCGGAACCCCCCGGGAGGTATATGGGCCTTATTGGGCCTTAGTGGGAGAGAGGGGAAAGGAGCAAAGGAGGGGGCTCGCCCCCCAAGCCTAATCCGAATTGGGAGGGGGCCCGGCCCCCCTTTCCTTCCTCCTCCCTCCTCCTTCCTTCTCTCCTAAATCCAACAAGGCAAACGGGGGGAATCCTACTCTCGGTGGGAGTAGGACTCCCCTTGGGGCGAGCCTAGGAGGCCGGCCCCCTCCCCCTCCTCCACTCCTTTATATAGGGGGAGAAGGGGGCACCCCATAGACACACAAGTTGATCATTGATCTTTTAGCCGTGTGCGGTGCCTCCCTCCACCATAATCCACCTCGATTATATCGTAGCGGTGCTTAGGCGAAGCCCTGTTCCGGTAGCAACATCATTACCATCATCACGCCGTCATGCTGACCAAGCTCTCCCTCGAAGCTCTACTGGATCGTGAGTTCGCGGGATGTCACCGAGCCGAACGTGTGCAGATCGCGGAGGTGACGTACCTTCGGTGCTAGATCGGTCGATCGTGAAGACATACGACTACATCAACCGCGTTGTCATAACGCTTCCGCTTACGGTCTACGAGGGTACGTAGACGATACTCTCCCCTCTTGTTGATATGCATCACCATGATCTTGCGTGTGCGTAGGAATTTTTTTGAAATTACTGCGTTCCCCAACAGTGGTATCAGAGCCAGGTTTATGCGTATATGTTATATGCACGAGTAGAACACAAAGGAGTTGTGGGCGTGGGTATATACATATTTCTTGCCATCACTAGTTGTTTCTTGATTCGGCGGTATTGTTGGATGAAGCGGCCCATACGCTTAGGCGAGACTTGTTCTACCGACGTGCTTCGCACACAGGTGGCTGGTGGGTGTCAGTTTCTCCAACTTTAGTTGAATCAGATTCAATGAACATGGTTCTTTCTAAAGATCAAAAAGCAATCACTATACCGTGTTGTGGTTTTTGATGTGTAGGTAAGAACGGTTCTTGCTCAGCCCATAGCAGCCACGTAAAA